TCAACTTAAAAATTGCTAAAGAAAAAGCATTGCAAAAATCAAGCCCTTGTCCTCAAATTTAAGTACTTTCAAGGCCTTGAATTTTTATTTTTAAATTCATGCGTCTTCAAGGACTTTCAAGGCTTTTACGAATCCTGAGTAGGTAATGTATTTGCCTTTAACTGCAAGGAGAAGGGAATTTTTTATCTATGATTGGTACCAAGTCATAGTTCATTGCCAAATTTTCACACAGGGGGAGTTGTCAGATATCAGTAAATTGAAGCAATGTCACTGTTCAATAGTTCATATTGTTTTTAATAGAAAAATCTCTGAAACCACTGCAACATTATATAGATAGAGTGAGTGCTTTTGGTAGAGCATCAATTTTGGGAATTACGTATAACAAAACTGTAACAAAATGACGGAGATGTTTCAATACTTGGTATTAATGCTGAGTTCTTTTCCTTTGTATTGATCGTAAACGTCAAATAAGTCTAACCGAGGAAATTATTCACAAGTTATAGCATGAGGTTCAATGTTCTTTCTTCAATTTCTTGGATGATCTGTTCCTGTTAATATTTTGAATAACATTTTACGTACAGTTACAGAATGTAACTCACGTAAAACAAAAGTTGACACGTATATATTATCATTTTCATTAGAAGTGTGGGTAATTCTGTCTGCATTAAAAATGATTGTCTGGTTAACTAAGACAAACTTTAATACAACTGCTTTCCAATATTCATTATTGACACGAGATCATTAGCAGAATTGATTCCTTGTTTGTTATTGTAAATCAAAGAGCATAAACTCATTGCAACACGTTGTTGTCCTGTCCAAATACCAACTCATTAGCTTGGCTTTATGGTGCCGTTATTGTTTTTGCTAAGGTCAATGTACGTTGGAGTAGGACCAGGGTTTTTCTCTATATCTGAATTCAGTTGAAATTTGCAATAGTTTGATAAGTGTATCTGACTCTTATAAAGACACATGGGTTAATTAGAAGAAAACATTGATAAATACCGACTTGCTCCATACTTCAATCTAATTATCCTTTGATACACCCTCACAGAAAAATTCAACAAATACCTCTTCTCGTGTCGTGTAACTATTTAATGTTACCCTCTTCGTATTAAGCTTACAAACACTCTTTGTAACTCTTCTAAACTTCACATAACGACGTAGCCAAGAGGACTTCGGTATGCTTGGACGAATACGCTCATAAATAAATTCCTTCAGTTTTCTGGCCTTTCTTCTAAGACGTTTCAGCCGGTAGCTTCTGGTATTCTACTGGGTTCTCGATCACGTCTAAATACACGGTTGTGGTTACACGTAAACATAATATGAGACAGCTCGTTTGATATAGCAGGTTTCACTTGATATTTCTCGATAGAAGGTTCAATCGTAAAGGATCGCTCTTAAATTGATCTCTCGTAAAGTTCGCGGACCGACCTGTTCCCAAGACGCTCCACAAGTTTTAGCCTGGGTCTACCGCGAACGGTGTGTGACTTTGTATATATATTGAGCGTAATAGCCATCGCATTTTTTTGCGTACATCATGGCAGCCATTGCTTTAAACCATGCGCTCAAGGGTTCATTCTAGCCCGAATAATAAATAATAAATTGCTGACGCGAAACAATTTCCGATCTAATAAAATAATAGTCAAATAAAGCTCAGAGAAATAACATCTTGCAACGACACAATTGCTTTATGAGAACTGTACATTTTTTGATAAAATTTTTTCTTACCTTTGCAGGTATGTCCATCGCCCGAAAAACCGGTTCTGAAAGAGCAGCGATACGATCCCAGAGTGTTTTTGCAGTCAGCGTTCACATCACAAACGCTAAAGGAGGCATTACATTCGTCAGCATCTGTTAATGAATATCCAAATCGTTTAGAGCGACAATATACAATGATCATGAAGCACAATTTTAAGCAAATTGTTCAGATCCTCTTTCATCAAGTTAGTCACAGTTAATTAAAAAAAACCCAAGAGAACGAGTGTCAAACAGCTTTATCGAGCAGGCTCTTCAAGAGTTTCTATGGATATCATTCCAATAACATTGAATCGTTGCTGGGTGTTGGGAATTAAAGCGAGGTGTAAACAATGAGTTCTCCTTACTTAGTAGGATGCAAACGAGTCAAGATTTATCAAATCATACTCTGAAAAAGATAGATTCCTATGAATATGCAATTCTTGCGGTTATCTACTGCCGTACATAGATTGAGATGTGAAATATATAAATAAGAGAAAAGGTAAGGTTAAAAAATACCCGTCATGTTTCGAAATGCGCGGGCGCTTATTCGTAGGCCGGGTAATGCGACTTAAGTTGATTTTAGTTTCTTGCTGTTAGATTAAGAACCAGCCATCTGGTCTGTAAGGGCTGACATAAAATTTCCTTGCTTTTTCATAACAAGTTTCCAAGGAAAAAATTTTAAACATTTTAGAACAATTCTAACATTCCTTTGACATAGTAACAATCTTTTCCAGTCCCTCCACCAAACGATCAGACTTACGATCAACAATATAAAAGGATTGTACCAAGCACAAAGCTGACCGTCAGCTTTTATGTCATATACGATACTTTTTAGTGCATATCCATTATTTTAACTTTCTTACTCTACCTTCGGTTTTCATGTCACAATGAGCCAACACAGGAGTGTCAGGTTTGATGAAATTCAGCCAGTATTTTCCGCTGACCGCTTCTCCACCTTCACTCGCCCTGATGTCCTTACACGAGTCTGCAGACAACTCTGGAATTGCACCGAGAATAGCTAGAAAATAAGAAAATGAGAAAGTGAAGAAAAAACGCGATATCACCCCCTCTAAAACAGTTAGCCGAATCATTTTGCCTTAACGCTCACCTCTCTTCATATCTCGTCTGAAGTAATATCTCTCAGAGTTGGGTACAAAATCTTGAGGCTTGGCTTCCTTTGTTCGGTTACCCACCTCACACTTGTCTTGTGTGAAGACGTAGTTAAAGCTTTGACATCTGACGTCACGATAACATTCCCGCAAACTCAGATCTCCGAATGCTGCTCTAGTGATTGTTTTAAAAATGTGATTTTGAAGCATCTTACCAAGAATGGAGACTTCGCGTGTATCACGGTGGTACTGAGCAACAACTGAGTGAAACAATACCAACATGAAAAGGAAAACTGGTAAATGAAAGAACTCTTGGACTCCCATTGTAGTTATATAATTTCACCTGAAATGAAATCATAAAGTTTGAGAGCACAGTGGTACAAATATGAGTATGTCCATAGAAAAACAGGAAATAAGATAACTGCAGAGGCACTTATTGTTTGGAAGTTTTTAAAGCTGTGTGACATATCGCAGACACGCATGTCGAGCGATATGTCATGCACCCGACAAATTTAAAGCTTAGTGTAAAAAAGCAAGCGTGAGATATGGCGCTAGTCGATAAGACACGGATACCAAAACAGTCCCATTGCGCGTTCGTCTATGGTTTAATCAAAGGTTTCTACTAATTTTTATCTAATAAGAAGTTGTCAAAGCTTTTTGAATGCAATTCCTTAAACGCAGAGACAGTTTTTACTAGGTACAGCAAACCGTCGTCGTCCCGGTGTTATAAAGTAACAGACTTCTTTGACAGTTAGCACACAGTTCGCCGCCCCTGAAAACGCGTATTAAAAATTTCCCAAAATGATATCTTTGGTTTAGCTCTGTCCTATAATGATGATAACAGAAGGTACTACTCCTATGCTATGAACTTGCCTGAGTGAGTATTGCAGTCTTCCTTCACTTTTCAAAATCGATAAAGAGACCTTTGGAAACAAATTGACTTCAAATGGAATTTGACTTGTATTGAAAGACGAAGTTCACAGACTACAACATGCTTAAATGATAAAACTATGAAACACGATGTTCTTTTTAAAACTTCTTTTAATAACATCTGCAGGCTTTCTTTGAAACAATTTTGGCTGAGATTCACGCAGAATTTCTGTTTTCTTTGAAATTCGAGGAAATGGTAACGAAACTTTTAGTTTTATCTAAAAGAAAACTTTATAAGAATTCTTTGGCTTTTCAAAATTGGTTTCCTATTATCGTTTGTTTGATAATAACAATATTGTTCTTGTTACGAATAGGTCAGAACTGTAAACGTAGCACAGTGAGACAAATATGTGGCCGTCCACAAAAAAACAGGGAATACGGTAACTGCAGAGGCACTTATTGTTCGGCTGTTTTTCAAGCAGTATGACATATCGCAGACACGCATGACGAGCGATATGACATGCAAGCCACAAATTTAAAGCCTAGTGTAAAAAAGCAAGAGTGAGATATGGCACGAGTCGAAAAGGCACGGATACAGTCCCATTGCACGTTCGTCTATAGCTTAATCAAAAGTTTCACTTATTTTTTTCCAATAAGAAGTTGTCAAAGCTTTTTGAATGCAATTCCTCAAAGGCAGAAATAGTTTTTACTAAGTACATTCTGGTTCGAGGGTTTTGTTTTGCATACTTAGATCAACCCTTCATGAGAACAAAACACATAAATTTTGGTTTTTTAACGGTTTTTTCCACTTCAAATTTGTTTGTTGTTTGACACCTACTTTGACGCTACTGCCATGACCCGAAATATGCAATTTTTTATGTCGGCTCAGCGGAAAATTCCAACTTTTTCCCTAGGATATTTTTATCCAGCCTGACTAAAATAGGGTAGAAGAGCATGGAAATATAACAACATGTTGTGGTTTCGGCGGAATTCTAGAAAAGCTGCAAAATTTATGCGGCTAACTTATGTTTGACGAGTGATTTGAGTCCATAAAAGCTTTTTTAAGACTCGCAACAGGATAAAACATCATTAAGTAAAGAGAAATCTTCATCTTCATCTAGAAAATTACTGCCCCCGAAAGTTGACTCTTAGCTCTAGGCAACCTATTGTCTTGTTTATCACTAAGTTAACGTGGAAGGGGAAAAAACTTTAGAGGCAGGATAGCTCTGACAAGATTCAAGTTTATTCAGAATATTTTATGTTGTTCATTTAGGAACTGCTCAACTTGACTGCACTTAAAGTACAAAATTAAAATAGCGTTTGGAGGTGTAATACTGAAGCGAGTGGTGACTGATTGCCTCTAAAAAGATTCCACTCGGTGACCTCCTGCTCTAGTTATTTCGACTTGATTGAATATACAATCGATACAGATTGAAATTTTTGGTCGATTCGTGTCACTTATTTGCCTTTTTTAAAATTACTTTATGTGGGTTACATTTACCATAAATGTATGGTTGAAATAACTTATTTCCACTGGTTTTAACTGACTGAGTCACCGAAAAATAAGGAAACTGACTTGAAGGTGTGTTTAAACCATTTTTATTCGGTAAAAGTCATGTAAAAAGTAGTTTACCTCTTCTCAATTTAGCGATTAGTATTATAATTGTGTATTTAAAAGAGTAAACGGTGCATGTTACGGAACAAACCGTTAATTAAATGTGTAGAACCACACAATATCAACCATACGATCTGATCAGGCAATAGATCTGATACATTCGTTTTAATGCCATTAAAATTTGACCCTTTGAAATCATACTCAGTCTTTGACAACCCAGATGTTACATCACATCCATTAAGATTCTGAAAATAAAGAGCAGAAAAAAAATGGCATTGGAAACATTTTGATATTGCAAACTTTCCTATCACTTCCTTCTCCACCTTCGAGAACACTTTTCAAATCAATAACAAAAATCTAGTTCTTTTCCTTTTTTTTCTTTGTTTTGTATTTACTTATTTATTTATCAAGGTGGTAATCATGACCAATCACAGAGCGCTTACTACCTGTAAGAATATTAAAGCATAATACTCATAAATGTAACTGTAATTTTAGAACGATTACACAAAATTCACAATTTTCTCGACCAACTTCGATTTAGTCCGTGCCGCAGTAGCGGAGGTGACACCACGGTGTGCCATTTATGAAGTAAACATAATAACCTCCGCAGTTTATCACTTTGACAGCACTTGATTTGTAGCAGCAGTCTGACTGCCAATGGAAGCAAACCGTCCTGGTGACCTGACCATCAGCTTGTGTGGGATGCGTACCATTTATCCATCCGGGTACGTGAGAATTGCATCGGTGTGTTGGAGGGCATGAGGTAGGCATTCTTGTCCCCGCTGCTCCTTCAAAACGATACCAACCCGTGAGTCCGTTGTCGCAAACCGTGTCTTGATTGTCGTAGGTTACCTTTCTGTCTCCCCCCGTCAGACTCTGATAATTTTGACATTCTAAAAAAAGGGGGAAAGTTTAAAGATTTTAGAAAGGTATAAAGGAAAAAGAATAGAAAGAATCAACACAAAAAAACAAAAGCTTAAAACTAAACAAGAAATGAAATGAAGGCCATATCCTCGATATTTGCTTGAAAATCTACTATTTATTTCATTACGTCTATGTTATTCTATGCTGTAACAATTTCAATGGTTGTCATTCAGGAATACACATGGACCGAAAAAAAATTACGTCCTGCACCTAGCCGTCTTGCTAATACAAGATTGGCCAATATCTGATTAATTACATGACGAATAGATAACACCAAAGGATTACACTTTTAATCAAAATTATAACAAAGTTCTCGAGCTTGATTGGTTATCACCAGCTCGACTTGAGCACTTGTAATTGGACATTGTAATAGGACAGTAAAAGGAACAGTTAACACGCCATGCCTGTGTAAGTGGACAGAACGCGTCATGTGCGCGCGATGTTATCTCGCATTTCGCCGAATCAACTGTTGCTCGTTTTTTATCTTCTATGAAAACCTACAACCGATGTCTAATTTCTTTCTCAAATTTTGTCATAGTTTTGATTAATTGGTAACAGGAATTCAAGTCGTCCAGTTTTGTCTGTAATCGTACTCGAAACTGTTATATTACGCGGTTCGCAGACTCAAACCATTTATATACAGGGATTCCAATGATAATCCAAAAATGTTCCCATAATCGACCTGAATAAACATCCAATTTTGACAGTAGAGTAGGTTTTTTGCGAATAGAAAATTACACCTTAGCGGGCGAAATTGGCGACGGTTTTCTATCTCTTCACTCTCTTGTTACTTTTAAAAATTTTGTTTTCTTCGATATCAAGTGGAAAATTCTCTTCAGAGTAGCCAAGAACGCAGAATTGGCTTTATCTCGCTTTTCGACACTTTACTTGCACAGACAGTCGCAAAAAAGGTAATACATTGTTTCTTTTTTAGGTACTAGTTACTCTTCACTCAATCAGGTTATCATCTCAGTGATTTTCATATTAACCAGACACCAGTGGTCAGCATGAAAGAATAGATACAGAAACAGCAGCAGGATTGAGGTGCAACATTTACATAGAGAAGAATCGATTCGTCTTCCTACCTGATGGGAGATTACTGCAGGATCTTCCATCCCCTTTGTACGGATGGTTACATGAGCAGCTAAACGATCCAAGAGTGTTAGTGCATGAGGCTGAAACGTGGCAATCATGTACACCACTGGCACATTCATTAATATCTGTCGATATAGATAAGAAAGTTGATACACATAATACAATGAAGAGGAACAATAAGGACCTGTTTACATGGAGGTAGTGGAAATCAGGTCGGTGAGGTAACCGATATAGTCTAGGTAACCGGCCTGTCCATGTAATTCCTTATTAATTTTTATCATGATCAAGTTTACATGATAGGTGAGTTACCCGCCTAAGCGGATTACTCGGTGTGCTAAGTAGGGTAGCCCTGTCAGCCGTGGCCGTAATATGTGTTTTATGAGAAATTGTTGTAAATATAAGCTTCTAGAAATCTCCGGACTGCCTAGTCATGCTGACATGCGTACCATAGAACTTTCTAGAACATTTCGTCAAGAAATAAACATGACGGTTTTGATGAAAGGATTGCTGTTGCGTCTCCTTAATCTACCTGATTCCCCCATAAGACTCTGCACTATTTTTTTGATCCCCCATTCCTCATTGGCAGTTTCTTGGCAGTCAATTTTCTATATTTCGTTTATGATTTCAATTGTTTTGAGGAAGAAGGTGCGAAATTCATTAGCTAGCTTTGTGGGGTCGTCGTGCTATGGGAGAGCCGTCTCAAGTGGTTCCCTAGACAAGGAATTAACCAAATGAAATAGCTTGCAGAAGTCACCCACCCACACACTGATCAATTAGGTTTGAATTATGATTCACACGTGAAGATTTAAGAAGTGTAGAGTACTGATTAAGATAACATCAAAGAATATCTAAAGAAAACAATACGAAGATTCTAGAACATTTGCACCGAACTTTTAAATTTATATAAGGAATAAATTGTTGACGAGAGACAATTTCAGATTTAATGAGGTAATAGTCGAAGAATGCTCAGACATTGCTTTATGAGGACTGTACTTTTTCTGATAAAATTTCTTCTCACCTTTGCAGGTATGTCCATCTCCAGAAAAACCGGCTCTGCAAGAGCAGCGATACCATCCCACAGTGTTTTTGCAATCAGCGTTCACATCACAAACGCTAACGGAGGCATTACATTCGTCGGTATCTGTTAATGAACATCCAAATCGTTTAGAGAGACAATATACGTTAATCATAAAGTACAACTTTAAGCAAATTATTGTTCAGATCTTCTTTCATCAAGTTAGTCACTGTTAAAAAAATAAAAAACAAAACAAAAAACAACCGTGTGAGGCTCAAACAGCTTTATCGAGCTGGCTCTCCAAGAGTTTCTATGTATATCATTCCAATAGCATGTCAAATCGTTGGTTGGTTTTAAGATTACAGCAAGGCATAAACAATGAGTTCACTTTGCTTAGTAGGATGCAAACGAGTCAAGATTTATCAAATCCTACTTCAAAAAACTTAAATTCCAGTGATATGCAATTCTTGCTGTTATCTGTTGTCGTACATGGATTGAAATATGAAATATATAAACAAGATAAAAGATACGACCAACAACAAAAAAGGATTGCACCTGAAAGAAAAGCTGACCATTAGTTTTTATGCAAGGCACAATACTTTCTAGTGCATATCCATTCTGTTTAACTGTTTTACTTTACCTTCAGTTTTCATGTCACAATGAGCCAACACAGGAGTGTCAGGTTTGATGAAATTCAGCCAGTATTTTCCGCTGACCGCTTCTCCACCTTCACTCGCCTTGATTTCCTTGCACGAGTCTGCAGACAACTCTGGAATGGCACCGAGAATAGCTAGAAATAAGAAAATGAGAAAGTGAAGAAAAAACGCGATATCTCCCTCTCTAAAACAGTCAGCAAAATTATTTTGCCTTAATGCTCACCTCTCTTCATATCTCGTCTGAAGTAATATCTCTCAGAGTTGGTTACAAAATCTTCAGGCCTGGCTTCCTTTGTGCGTTTACTCAGTTCACACTTGTCCTGTGTGAACACATAGTTAAAGCTTTGGCATCTGACGTCACGATAACATTCCCGCAAACACACATCACCGAATGCTGCTCCAGTGATTGTTTTAAAAATGTGTTTTTGAAGCATTTTACCAAGGATGGAGACTTCGCGTGTATCACGGTGGTACTGAGTAACAACTGAATGAAACGATACCAACATGAAGAGGAAAACTGGTAAATGAAAGAACGCTTGGATTCCCATTGTGGTTAAATAATTTCACCTGAAATGAAATCATGAAGTTTGAGAGCACAGTGATACAAATATGTGGCCGTCCATGACGAGGGATATGTCATGCATACGACAAATTTAAAACTTGATGTGAAAAAGCAAGAGTTAGATATGGCACTAGACGATGAGACACGGATACTAAAACAGTCCTTTTGCGCGTTGATCTATGGTTTAATCAAAAGTTTTAACTATCCTTTTCCAATAAGAAGTTTCCAAAGCTTTCTGAATGCAATTCCTCAATTGCAGAAACAGATTTTACTAAGTACAACGAACGGTCGTCGTCCCCATCGATGCTATGAACTTGCCTGAGTGAGTATCGCACGGTCGTCGATAAAGAGATTTTTGGAAACCCATGCATTGACTTGTAAAAAAAACATTATAGGCCACATCTAAATATAAAGTAACAGACTCCTTTGAGACCCATTTCCGTTTTCTAAGTAAATGGCAACGAAACTCTTAGTTTTATCTAAAATAAAAAAAAAAATTGTTGAGCTCTTCCTCGTTTCTGATCCAAACATTCACGCTATACTTTTAAAATAGCACACAGTTAGCCGCCCCTGATAACGCCTAGTAACTATATCTTTGGTTTAGCTCTGTCCTATCATGATGATAATAGAACCATAAGGTACTTCTCCTATGCTATGAACTTGCCTGAGTGAATACCGCAATCTTCCTTTCCTTTTCAAGATCGAAAAACTGATCTTTGGGAGAGAGATAACTTTGAAACTTAGCCTGCGTTGAAATTGGAACTTTATACAGGCCAGAACGTGCGCAAGCGGTGTCAATATGTAACAAGATGCTTTATGTCAAAAGTTCTAATGCCACCAGCAGACTTTCTTAGACCTATTTTGGCCAAAAGTCCAAACCTGATATCGTCGTTATAATGTAAATAAACGGCAGCGAAACTCTTAGTTATATGTTCTGAGAAAATATCTCGGAAAAAGTCGGACTTTCCAAACTCGTTTCTTTTCATCTTTCGTTATAATACAGCTATGAAAAGTTTCCTTTTTAACCGTAAAGGAGGGTAAATTTTAGTCCCCAGGTCATTATTCAGAGATCGAGAGTAGGTAAGATCCTTGTGGCAGGATCAACAAAAACATGTGAATTCAGTTCGGCTCGACCTGATTCAGCCAAAAGGTCCTATAAGCATTTACTACACGAATGCAATTCTGTATCTTTGTTCCTTATAATTGCATTTTGCCCAGACCGACGAAGATCATAGTCCGATGTGTTAGCAATTACTCGAGTGATTATGGATTGGTAATTTTTATGAACTAGTCTATGCGCTATTTCCATATCAATATGTGAGACAGATAACGCAATCTTAAAACTCGGATTCCATTTGCACTTTGACAAAAGGCACGCGCGGTTTTTTGGCAATCACGTCTCTTGAGAGTTTTGCCGTAAATCTTTTGGTTTTTTTCTCTTTCTTACTCTTTAGTGCAATCACTGATGGAACCAAGAAATCATGGCTCGTGTCAAAACGAAGCGTGCTCAAGAGTAAAGACAAGTGTGAGCTAGCGTATTGTCCAACATTGGCCGTTTTTATGCTAGAGACGTTAAAGTTGTCTCGAGACAACTTTAACGTCTTAGACAACTTTAACGTCTCTAGCATAAAAACGGCCATTAGGCCATTATCAAACTAGCGGGTACAAAAGTTCTCTTAAAAGCGTATGAATAATTTAACAAGAGGAGATTCTGACATCAACGAATCAGAAGAATCGGGCGCGAAAGCTTCACTTTTGATGATAGAGCCGTGAGTTAAGTCAGGCTTAAAGTCTGTAGCTCAGTAATACATTGCTAAACTGGCTTCTTTAGTATATCCTTTGAAATAATTTGACTTCGATCCCGAAAAAAGCCTCTGTGGTCAGCTGCATAACAAAGGACACACTCATTTAAAACCATCCAAAATGAAGCTATAAGCTCCACTTCACGTAGTCTTCTTGTGATACATACTAAATAAGATTAATTTTTTCGAAAGGACTTTGGTACTCACTCAAGAGTGTTCCTCATAACTGGCAACTTCTGGTCATCATCATTTCTTCCGTTGTGTGAGTCGAATTTCTGTAAGTTGAATCAAACGCAAACTTCTAGCTAATTTTCAATGACGATAGACTAGTCCAAAATATCTGTTTAACTGCAATAGAACTACAAGGCTTGTGAGGATTCTCTTCTCAGAAAGATATCTAAGCCTAGTCACCTGGTGATGTTTTGAGGCACGACCAGCCGTTTATTTTTCGCACATGATGTGGGAGGTTGACTGTCATGCAAATTAAAAATATGGTAAGTTTCTAAAGAAACTGTTGTGCTGCGTCGGTACGAGATGTAACAGGGTAATTTAATGTAATCAACTTAGTTGATAACGTAAATTGGCCACCGTCAAGAGTTTAAAGGCTCTAAAGGCTGACGTTTCGAGCGTTAGCCCTTCGTCAAAAGCTTCGTTAGCAATTCGTCAGAGCGATTCCAATCGCTCAAGGGCTAACGCTCGAAACGTCAGCCTCTAAAGTCTTTAAACTCCTTACGGTAAACAATTCACGTTATCAACTCAGTTTATCACACTAAATTAACCTGTCATGCAAATTATTGACGTCGGGTCTCTCCGCCAAAATTAAGTTTCAAAAGAAACATAACAGGTATTGTCCTCGATGCATTTTAAATATTAACTTTTTGATTAACACTAGAAAATCCTCCATGTGAGACTTGGCGGATCAAAGTTTTGCAGAAAGTGGAAAAAGTTATCAATTTGTATGGAATTAAAATCGTTTTTTCCTCGATGGGGTCACTTTGGATCGCAACGTTTCGATCGATCGCATCTGAGCGCGTGCTTCCAACGATCAAAGAACACAGCTGCAGGCGTATCCAGTCGACCTTATCACCTGAATGCAAGTTCGATTCACATCGTATTCAACTGTGTTCATCACGATTAATAACTACAACCTACTTACAACAGCAATAATTTGATACGTCTAAACACGCGCATAGTAGTTCACAATAATTTTCCGACTAGCTCTTTTCTCCTAAACTGACGGTTCAATGGCTGATAGCTATTAACAATGTTTTTGTTATCAACCACCTGCTGAAATGAGACACACTGCTTAGCTTTCTCTTCGTGTATCCGTTCTATAATAAAGCACACTGTTTCAACCAGTCAGAGCACATGTTTTATCCAAACTCACTCGCTTTGTAGAAAGCGGACGTTGGGACTTTACGTTTGTTCTCAATCAAGCGAGGCGGCGTTTAACGAATCAAGGGGTGTGATTTTTTCGCGTGTTAAGTTTTTGCTGGGCTTATGCATTTACGCTACGGTAAACAGGTAGCATTTGTATGGTAAATAGAGTGTTTCAATCGAGCAAATGACGATAGTTTTCTACATGATTCAACGGCGCGGTAGGCTTCGGACGTTAATACCAGGTTACACATGCTCTCATTACCTTTGCATCGCACAGCAAGCCTCTAATTTAATATATCTTTCGCCAGTTTTAAGCAATATATAGGAAAAAACAACAGTCACTCTACGGATACGAAAGCTACAGTCGCCCCACCATCCACCCCACCGTGACAATTTGCATCCTAAAAAATCTACCAGAATCACTCCCACGGGGAGGATTTGTCTTATCATCAGTTTTGCCGATGGTTTGAATCTGCCGCTCGTATGATAATCGGAAATTTTGAAAAATCCCACGTGTATTTTAAAGCTGTTTCCGCCATTGTTCCAAAGTAGCCATATACGGTCATTGTTAATCGTTAAACAAAGCCTGCTTAACTTTAAGCTGATCCGCTTTTCTTGATACACTTTTAGCAATAGGTCTTTTTTCTAATTTACATAGCCTTATCTAAATACAAAGACGACTCTCACCCCTCCCCTCAATCAAATTCTGCCTGGAAAGTCGCGGAAATATGGTATTCCAACAGTGTTTACCTACTCCTACCTAAAAATATCGATCAACCTGATTAATGGCAAAAAAAATTGATTAAAAAATATTTTCAACGACCGATGACGGCAAAGCTGAATCAGTGGTTTATTATGTTTTGTGGTCGTAATCAGGAGCTCCTGTCGTAATCTAGTATCACCTGAATATACTTCAATTTTCTCTCGATATCCTTTAGAGGCCAGCCGTCAACGAAGGGGGGGGGGGGGTATAGGATTCTGGGGAGATCACATGGATGTCAATGGGAACAGAGGGGGCCAGTCGTCTCCAACAAAGTGTAGAGAGGAGAGTATAAAAAATTGACTGGCAATGAAGGGTTGGCGGGGGGGGGTCGTAAGAATATCACAGAGCCTTAGTGGTGAGATCAGTTTATCGTGACAACCAAAATAATCAAAATAACAGAAAAAAATTAACCGTTAGTCGTAAACTGATGAAAATTTTACCATTAATTAGCCGTAAAAGCCATCAGCTCACTGAGACTAGGCCTGTCCCGATTGGAATCCTAAAATGCTGGAAAGTTTCTAATTTGAATAGTTGCTAAAAAAAGAAAGTTGTGCCTAAATTTCTTGATATTGTTATATAAACATTAATTTGTATTTAAAAAGCTTTATTTTTCGTTCTTTACAATAAGTGCCAACATCAGTCACCACAAATAGCTTGAGACTAATGTTAGCTTTTTTATGGGCGAAATTTGAGGATACTCTTATGTCTAACGAACAAAACACATGGTTCATTAGACATCATTTTAGTCAATGGTCAAATGTAATATTAGATAAGAATGGAAATCGGCCGACGAACTGTTGTCAAGTGACAAGTCATGTGTTTAAAAGCCTTTTGATAAAAATTCAAGAATTTCGCATAAATTGAAGTTTTCTATGAAATCGTTTACTTTTTCGTACTTAACATGTGATTTAACTGATTCTCTTTTCATGCGCTATTTCAAAGAGAGAAAACTCATTCAAAACATGCTGTCCACAAAACTAATTAACTTTGATTTCAAGTAGCACTATGTCAGTTTTGACGTACAAGTATAAGTTAAAACAAGTACCCACACAAG